TGCCAAATGTAAGCTGCTGAACTATCTGAACTGGAACTTGGGAAGTACTCAGATCGAGGACGAGGACGCCGTCTGAGATCTTCAATCTCAGTCAGCTCACTACCGAGCCCGTAAGACCAAGAAACATCGCACCGAAACCAGGCGGCTCGGAGACAGCCGTAACAGAATTTTTAGAAACAGAACAAGTAAAAAGAAATATATTCAAAACGAAATTACCTCATTTGGTGAAGGTCAGAAAAGTCAGATTATGCCAGCAGTGCTAAATTTAGATAAAAGCTAAAAATTATGCTCGGTTTGCTAAATTATGTCAAAAATTATGCTAGCACAATCGATAAAAACGTATACGGTGATCAACAAGAAAAGTTAAACGTGTTTCGTGTGCTTAGTAACATTACATAGCGGTAAACACACGGGAAAAGTGATTGATTTGTCGGTCTATCGAAACCATTAGCTCATTACTGTGTTGACAACGTTGGCTGGAAGTTTCTTCCTGGAAGAATCATGCAGACTGAGGGGTATTACCGAATTGCGGTAAGCGACGTTTTGTTGTAGAAACTGCCGTCGTGTTTTCTAAAACTTTTGAAGGCACTCGTTACGTTGCTCCGGCGAGATAACTTTAAAAGGAGTAAAGTCTTCCTGGTTTAAAATCGTGCGGTGATAGGATTCCATTGTTTAATATCGCTAATCTCTATACAAAAACACTTGAGTTGCTTTGTCGAAGTTGTTATAAATTGCAATTGTAAACAAATAGCTTAGTGTCGGTTTTAAGCCGACTTTCGCAGTCGATCTCACGGTAAAAATAATAAAACAGTTTTTGGAAATCAATACTGACAGCCGAATTTTGTAGTTTTCTTTGTGTTATCTTCTTCGTAGACTGCTAAAAGTTCTTCTTCTGTTATGCCGGGTTGGATTTGCTAACCACTCTCGAGAGGTGCGTGAAAAACACTTAATTTGGCATCCTCAATGCATTTCTTGGCTTTATATTGAGTGATAATTAATCTAAAACGAGTTTCTTTAATAGTTCTTTCATTCGGCTATCTCTCGTTGCGAATTTATGCAGAACAGAATTTTTTACTAGACCCTCGCACGTAATGATTTGCACACTGTTTATGGGGATTTCCTCATTTGTTTGTTCAGCTCATTCGGTTTGGTGAAATGCTTTTTGGTGAATATTGTGTTTTTGTGTGGATACCTGTGGTATCCCACGCTATTGTCATTGGCTTGTGTCCGTTAATGCAAATAAGTTGCAAATATTGCATTGTATTCTGGATCCCTGAATCCCACACATGTACCTTTTGGGTACCTTTTGGGTACCTATTTTTTTTTGTATGGCTTGTGTTTGTAGTCGATATGACGCGCGCTCTGATTGGCCAATTGTAGGGCATTATTCTCCCGTAATGCTCACGGGCCGATTACGAATAAACAACTTATTAACCTTGCACGTTGGGTCTTTACAGGAAAACCTCAAACCTGGGCCTTGCCGTATCTAGGTCTAGTGACCGAGCGATAGCGAGGTCAATACGGCAAGGTTTCGGTTTGAGATTTCCCTGTAAAGACCTCACTCTCGGTTAATAAGTAGTTATTATAGAATATTATTTTTTCGCACGAAGCTGAATATTCTTATTTTTCTGCCGATTTTAGGCTGAAAATATTCTTGTAAATATTCTTAGATTATAGCGTATATGACATATCTGTTTTCGAATGTATTTGGTGTCTGGATTTTGGAGTCAGTCTGCAGGCATTTAAGGCTGATATGCCATAACTTCTTGCAGAAATGTTATTAGCATCGAACAAATGGCTAGTGTTGTTTTTGTTGCTTTTTAGCCAGTTCTGCCGTTTAAAGAAAGGAAGAATTTTATGCGATCTAGTTAAAAACATATAATTGTATTGTATTCACAAAGTTTTAGACACCAAATTATATTCTTTTCAAAATCTCAGCCTCGGGTTTATTCTTAAAACATTCTTAAAGTTTCGCAAATTTTAGCCGCGATATTCTTATAAAATACGTTCTTATGAAAAAGAAAGAGTGTATCTTTAATGGCTATTGGTAAACTTTACGTGTTTTCCGGTCCTAGCTTTATCTTGAATGATAATCAGTCTTAAACGGACTTTCTTTAACATTTCTTTCATTTTTGACCGTCTTTCGTTGAGAATTTTATGTCTAAAATCGAACAGGAGTTGCTGATTGACACTCGCACGAAGTGATTTGCATACTTTTTTTTGGAGTATTTCTCCTTTAGTTTGGTCTGCTCATTCGGTTTGGTGAAATACTTACTACTGAATTTCTTTTAAGGTTATTGAGTCGAAACTTCAGTATTATTAGCATTTTATGAGAGCTCCGCTTTTAGGCCTGCGTGCTAAGCCTATATTAATGATAAGGCCTTCGAAAGTTACGAGGGTAGAAAAAGCGAGCAAAAATATTTCCTGATTTTAATTGTCAAGAAAAACACCAGTTGCGTCAGTGACGCAATTCAATAGTAGCAGAACTTGCTTGCGTTTAATTCTCTTACGTTAAGAAACTTCCGATGTACGTTCTTGCGTAGCAGGCAATGCGGATCAGAGCAGAACTTGCCGAAACGTGCCAAATGTTTTGATATCAAATTTAGAAATGAAGAGGAAGAGAAACTGGGGTGATCACAGTGATACCCAGTCAGAACCTGCATATGTGTTTGTTTAATTCAATATTGAGCAAATTACCTGTTATAAGTGCAATCTAACGTTTGTTATGTGTCCTGTATAACAATCAAGCTGCTTCAGTGAACGTTTTAAAAATTACGTTGTGTCAGCCCGAAGGTCATTTACAATACTGCCCGGCTGGAATACAAAATTTGAATGTACTTTTGTCCCACTCGAAGAATTAGCCGCAAACAGACTGAAGACGCAAGTAAATTAAACTCTTCTTCCAAACATTCTTAGTTAAAATAAGTAACCCTCTCACTTTAGAACAAGAACTTTTTTTGCGAAAAGTGAACAGTTGAGAGCGCGACAGGAAAGGGAGATCATGCACTAACGGTTACATTTATGCGTCACGTATAGTCTCATTACACCATTCACCTAAAACCTCTTCGCGAACCCTTATTGACATTAGAACGTTAGCCAGTTTATTTTTAAGCCCGAGCGAAGAATTTTTAAAAGTTAAAACACTCATCTTGTTTCCCGGTATGGGGCATGGATTTAAAGCCGATTAAACACCCGATAGGTACCGTCCGCGGAAATATCACGACATTACCTAAATCTTGCACCAAATGTTCGATACGTGATTTTATATTATTGTTTAATTCGTATTTGTAACTTCCCTTCCTTAATCCAAAATAAAAGAAAAACGGGCTTTTCAGTTTCCTTCGTTAGAATCGCGTCATTCAAATTGATTTCCTACAAAAAAATTGAATAAAAGTACTTTGAAGTCGATAATTAAGTTATCACTCGTCAGATACTGATATAACACGCCAATACTGTGAACTGGTTCATTTATGGGTCAAGTAGATTCGCCAGGGATTTATAAAGTGTTACATCTTGTGTGATTTTGTCCGTTCTTGTCGAATGTTCGGGAAAAAATTTACCCAGGTACGCTAAGCACCGGAAGTGCTTTAGAGACAAGCCACCGAAAAAATTCACTTAACTATTTAATTGCTTAAAAAAATATATTTGTGGGCACATAAAAACAAATACTCTAATTAGGGTATTAAGCGTGAATGAGCAATGTTAACATGGTATTATGATATTTCACTGAAAGAGACAATTGCAGTGACGTAAGAGCTGACACTGAAATTGTACGTGCATAAAAAGACGATATTTCATAAAAGACGTATTTACTTCCCGTGAAAGTACATCGTAAGAGTTTATGCTTTCTTTCCTAGACGTCACACAAACTCGGAAACAATATCGTAAAAGGGCTGGCTTAAAGAAGGGCTCTTCAACCACAATTTTTTCAGGAAACCCATTACAAAGTTGTTATGTTACAACGTTTTGTTACCAAAGGAAACACAGCAAGCGTTTTTCCTTCTTCAAAGCTACAAGCTTGCTACCAAACCCAGAAGAATAAACTGCGGTGGATAATATTCCCGTTCTTTTTTTCTGCGGTTCACCAGAGCACCGCCTGCGATTCCGTCAGCTTATTTATAACTCCGTCTACGTAGTTCTTCCGGATGTGTATCTAAATGTCCTCCGCATTGTTGGACTTTTTATTTCAATTATGAGAAGAAACATAACGTCCGTTTTTCGCTAAGTGGCACTTGTAGAGAACATTCTTTACCTACACGTCTTAGCATAATGCAAACGTAAAATTATGAGGAACTTTTCATAACATGGAGATTGCGATTGGAAGTTATATTTTTGAACGACCCTCTGACCCGAAGAAATCGTCTCCCTACAACTCCTGTTATGCAAGTTATCAGTCGCCACAGTGAAGAAACGATTGAACCAAAGTATAGTACTAAACAACTTGAACCCAGAAAAATTTGCTCTTCTTCAACAATCGTTGAGTCTGTGTTGACTCTTCCTTTTAACAATAGGTGAACTTGAAGTTTAACTAGACACTCATCGAGACAATTGCTGAAACGTTAAGTGTGTGAAGGGTTTAAGCAGATTGTTTTGGCAACTTATTCACAGTATCGACAAGGAAAAAACGTAGAAGAGGATTTAAATATTCTTAGATTATAGCGTATATGACATATCTGTTTTCGAATGTATTTGGTGTCTGGATTTTGGAGTCAGTCTGCAGGCATTTAAGGCTGATATGCCATAACTTCTTGCAGAAATGTTATTAGCATCGAACAAATGGCTAGTGTTGTTTTTGTTGCTTTTTAGCCAGTTCTGCCGTTTAAAGAAAGGAAGAATTTTATGCGATCTAGTTAAAAACATATAATTGTATTGTATTCACAAAGTTTTAGACACCAAATTATATTCTTTTCAAAATCTCAGCCTCGGGTTTATTCTTAAAACATTCTTAAAGTTTCGCAAATTTTAGCCGCGATATTCTTATAAAATACGTTCTTATGAAAAAGAAAGAGTGTATCTTTAATGGCTATTGGTAAACTTTACGTGTTTTCCGGTCCTAGCTTTATCTTGAATGATAATCAGTCTTAAACGGACTTTCTTTAACATTTCTTTCATTTTTGACCGTCTTTCGTTGAGAATTTTATGTCTAAAATCGAACAGGAGTTGCTGATTGACACTCGCACGAAGTGATTTGCATACTTTTTTTTGGAGTATTTCTCCTTTAGTTTGGTCTGCTCATTCGGTTTGGTGAAATACTTACTACTGAATTTCTTTTAAGGTTATTGAGTCGAAACTTCAGTATTATTAGCATTTTATGAGAGCTCCGCTTTTAGGCCTGCGTGCTAAGCCTATATTAATGATAAGGCCTTCGAAAGTTACGAGGGTAGAAAAAGCGAGCAAAAATATTTCCTGATTTTAATTGTCAAGAAAAACACCAGTTGCGTCAGTGACGCAATTCAATAGTAGCAGAACTTGCTTGCGTTTAATTCTCTTACGTTAAGAAACTTCCGATGTACGTTCTTGCGTAGCAGGCAATGCGGATCAGAGCAGAACTTGCCGAAACGTGCCAAATGTTTTGATATCAAATTTAGAAATGAAGAGGAAGAGAAACTGGGGTGATCACAGTGATACCCAGTCAGAACCTGCATATGTGTTTGTTTAATTCAATATTGAGCAAATTACCTGTTATAAGTGCAATCTAACGTTTGTTATGTGTCCTGTATAACAATCAAGCTGCTTCAGTGAACGTTTTAAAAATTACGTTGTGTCAGCCCGAAGGTCATTTACAATACTGCCCGGCTGGAATACAAAATTTGAATGTACTTTTGTCCCACTCGAAGAATTAGCCGCAAACAGACTGAAGACGCAAGTAAATTAAACTCTTCTTCCAAACATTCTTAGTTAAAATAAGTAACCCTCTCACTTTAGAACAAGAACTTTTTTTGCGAAAAGTGAACAGTTGAGAGCGCGACAGGAAAGGGAGATCATGCACTAACGGTTACATTTATGCGTCACGTATAGTCTCATTACACCATTCACCTAAAACCTCTTCGCGAACCCTTATTGACATTAGAACGTTAGCCAGTTTATTTTTAAGCCCGAGCGAAGAATTTTTAAAAGTTAAAACACTCATCTTGTTTCCCGGTATGGGGCATGGATTTAAAGCCGATTAAACACCCGATAGGTACCGTCCGCGGAAATATCACGACATTACCTAAATCTTGCACCAAATGTTCGATACGTGATTTTATATTATTGTTTAATTCGTATTTGTAACTTCCCTTCCTTAATCCAAAATAAAAGAAAAACGGGCTTTTCAGTTTCCTTCGTTAGAATCGCGTCATTCAAATTGATTTCCTACAAAAAAATTGAATAAAAGTACTTTGAAGTCGATAATTAAGTTATCACTCGTCAGATACTGATATAACACGCCAATACTGTGAACTGGTTCATTTATGGGTCAAGTAGATTCGCCAGGGATTTATAAAGTGTTACATCTTGTGTGATTTTGTCCGTTCTTGTCGAATGTTCGGGAAAAAATTTACCCAGGTACGCTAAGCACCGGAAGTGCTTTAGAGACAAGCCACCGAAAAAATTCACTTAACTATTTAATTGCTTAAAAAAATATATTTGTGGGCACATAAAAACAAATACTCTAATTAGGGTATTAAGCGTGAATGAGCAATGTTAACATGGTATTATGATATTTCACTGAAAGAGACAATTGCAGTGACGTAAGAGCTGACACTGAAATTGTACGTGCATAAAAAGACGATATTTCATAAAAGACGTATTTACTTCCCGTGAAAGTACATCGTAAGAGTTTATGCTTTCTTTCCTAGACGTCACACAAACTCGGAAACAATATCGTAAAAGGGCTGGCTTAAAGAAGGGCTCTTCAACCACAATTTTTTCAGGAAACCCATTACAAAGTTGTTATGTTACAACGTTTTGTTACCAAAGGAAACACAGCAAGCGTTTTTCCTTCTTCAAAGCTACAAGCTTGCTACCAAACCCAGAAGAATAAACTGCGGTGGATAATATTCCCGTTCTTTTTTTCTGCGGTTCACCAGAGCACCGCCTGCGATTCCGTCAGCTTATTTATAACTCCGTCTACGTAGTTCTTCCGGATGTGTATCTAAATGTCCTCCGCATTGTTGGACTTTTTATTTCAATTATGAGAAGAAACATAACGTCCGTTTTTCGCTAAGTGGCACTTGTAGAGAACATTCTTTACCTACACGTCTTAGCATAATGCAAACGTAAAATTATGAGGAACTTTTCATAACATGGAGATTGCGATTGGAAGTTATATTTTTGAACGACCCTCTGACCCGAAGAAATCGTCTCCCTACAACTCCTGTTATGCAAGTTATCAGTCGCCACAGTGAAGAAACGATTGAACCAAAGTATAGTACTAAACAACTTGAACCCAGAAAAATTTGCTCTTCTTCAACAATCGTTGAGTCTGTGTTGACTCTTCCTTTTAACAATAGGTGAACTTGAAGTTTAACTAGACACTCATCGAGACAATTGCTGAAACGTTAAGTGTGTGAAGGGTTTAAGCAGATTGTTTTGGCAACTTATTCACAGTATCGACAAGGAAAAAACGTAGAAGAGGATTTATTTTTTTTTGACGAAGAATGGTCATCCGAAAAAATACTGAGAATACTCGCAGTTTTTGAAACACAGGCACCGGCTCCCCCTGATAGTTTTGCCAAATACAGTGGAAAAAAATGGAATTGCACTGCACGTATTTCACTGATTCCTCTTCAAGTAAGAGTAACCGAGCCGGCTTACAAACGCGACCACCCATGATTTTGTCCTTACTTGCCGTAGTCGCCCACGACTTTAGCGAGCTATTTCAAGGACGCTAGAAAAACCCACACAAAACAAGCGATAGCTGAGGTACTTTTACGGTCGACCGATTTGAAAGATCCGTTTTCCTTTGTTTTCGCGGGAGGGAATGATTGTGGTTACACATCACTGCCTTTTACATGACACATCAGTCCTCTTTTAGAAGATAGGCATATTCAAGGAGGCAACTGAAGTTCTCACACAGGGCCCGACATCTGCCAAGTTACGTAACAGTATATAATATTTTATGTAATCGGTTTTTGTTTTGTAATCCGTTGGTATTTTCATCCTCCTTATTTAATTTCTTAGCGGCTTCTTTCGTATGTCGCCACTTGTTTCTACCAGCTACCAGTTCTTCCAGCTTTTCTTGCAGAATTTGAACCACCAGAGGGGTCGGTTAAAGTTATCGTGACTGAAGGGTTGTAAGCGGAAAGTTGCGTTTGAAAACGTTAAAGAATCAATGAAGCGAGCTTCAAAACATTCGAATATGAATTGTTCAATATGCAATTTTGACGACGTTTGAGTTATTTTTTCCGGTCGTTACGAACTTTTTTTTTTATCTAGTGTATCTTACGAACGAACTCTCAAGAGCCTAGACCAGAAAAATGCCAGCAATGATATTTGCTATTCAAAAATCGCATTGCGGCCACCCTTCCATGAGAGACCTTTGGAATAAGAGGAAACGAAGTTCCATCGTCAGGAATTAAAAAAAACTACACGACCCATGAGGCTGAGGTATTCCGGTTTCATTTAGGGTCTTGCGAAGGAGTCTTTAATACAATCCGGTTTCGTGCTAATAATCAGGAAGTTCGTATTCTGCACCATGTATAAAAGAAAGTCTTTTCTAGTAAGCGTTTCCAAACAACGCAGTCAGACCAGCGAACAGATAGCGAACATCATTTACGAAAACAGCCCTAAAAATCGTTGCTCTTCCCAGCACCGCATGATGGAATTCAGTCTACGTTTTGCATCATTACTGGTATGTTATCTACATTTAGATCTTAATCGTCGTTAATTTTAACGGGGAAACCAAAATAAGGAAAAAACATCAATAAGGTTCTCTATGAAGGAAAATTTGTTTTTTCAGTTTGACACTAACAATTACAAACTGAAATTTAAATTATCACTGCTATTTCCCTACGACAATGTTCTTCACTCAGTGTTACTGCTTAAAGTTAAGAGAATTTGAAAGAATATCGAAACAATATCTTTAAGTTGACAAAAGTGTGTATTCCTCTCTATTCTGGCCGTCTCAGTTAATAAAATTTCTCCAAAACCACTTACTGACTCTCTCAGACCAAGCATAAATGATTTAATCTTGACTAGCATACATCGAGTAACTTAATTTACAAGTTTATGATAATATTTAGTTCTCTTCTTTTGGCGTGAGGTTACGTTAGTATGGACTACTTAATTATGCGTAATGGTCTGCTAGTATAGGAAACAGTTTTGTTCTATCGTTAACCTCCCCTTTCCGCTCCGACTTTGGGGTATACAAAGAAACGGATAATCCATACGGTTAATAAGAAAGGCTTTGGATAAGCTTTTGACGAGGTTATTAATAGCGATAACAAGAGGGCTCGAGCGGAGAAGAAGCAAAATCTTTTTACGTCTAGCTATTTCACGTACGCTAGACTCCTCAACGGGAAGTATTTAGAACATTCTCAGCGTGTTCTGATAACGGCACGCATATTATTTTCTCCGCTGATTACCTATAAAGACTGTATAAACCTTTATTACACAATAACCTAATGGTATTTCGTTGCATTATGGATCTGGAATCACGCTTTCATTTGCAAATATTTGTTTCTCCGGAAATGAATCTAATCTATAACCCACACAGATGGGGTAATTTTCGTCACTTATTTCAATCTATATGCCTTTTGGAACATGTCTCATGCCAAAATATCGTTGAAGAGCTCGTGTATTTCCTCGGGGAATGCAATAAATTAAGATTAAATAATAGTAGACGTCAGCCGTGAATTGGGGTCATTTGTCTTTCGTCACTTTAAAAGCTTATATTGCTTCAAGTACAAGTGATTTGCTTGTAAATAAACAATAGGCCACATACCAGACGTGTCGGATATTACGATGTTGGGAAGTAACATTGATTTTCACAGCAGTCTACCATGCTTTCACTGAACCGATATTGCTATGTTAAGACGCCCTTCGATAGTTAGTTTGAAGCATTTGGTTTTTCGGCTGTCTATACATTCAAGTTCAAAGAAGTATTTTGAAATTACCTTACTTTCATTACTCGTGCTTCCAGTGGCATATCAGTATGAATATATCAGTATGAATTAATGAACGAGCGTGGAGCGTGCGTAGTGAACGACGCGGATACGCGGTCAGCGGATGAATTAACTTGATTCCAGATCCCTCGTTACGTAATAATAATCTTTATTTTAACGTGGTACAAAATAAAGTTACAATGAACGGAGTTAAAAAGGGAATCAGCGGATAAAAAAAAACCCCTCAAATGTCTTGTAGACCCTTGTGAAAGCGCGAAGATGGAAAGTGGAAATGATTGAATCAAAACAGAAAACAAAATAGTTTCGGAATGACAAACTAGATACCCAATATCAGGAGCCCATCGCTAGAAGTGCACAACTCCCATACTTAGCCTATATCACGGAATTTTTAAAGACCTGTCTAGTTTTAGGCTTCTTTTCCCGCGAAATAGGTCAGTTCCGGTCTACATGAGCGCGCATCGGTAAGGAAAATAAGGCTGTTTTTCTTTTTAATCTTCCGGTGAATCAATCAATCAATAAACTTTATTTAACGGCGTCTAAATCTCCTAGTCAGCTCGGAGGCCGACTAATCGGGGACTATCCCAATAAAATTACTAATAATTAAGTTAAGTTAAGTTAAGTTAAGTTAAGTTAAGTTAAGTTAAGTTAAGGTTATTCCCCAATATTGCACTGCGCATCTCTACTGCGCATAATTTCACGCGTGATTAGCGCGCGCGCATTAAAAAAATGGCGGCTTTTTCTTTACAGCTGGATCTCGCCATAGAGGTAAATCGTCATTTTCTCGCAAACGAGTATGGTGACCTATCATTTTTTTTTCTGTTGTTATGAATTGAGTGATAAATTTCTCTGTGTAAAATAAATATAGACCAATTCTCAGTGTAGAGCAAAAAGCAATCGTCGGAAACGTGAATTTAGCAAGCAATC